AACAATTTCTTAGCCTAATAGCTCGCTTTTCAAAAATAACTTTTGCCATTTTCTTTCAGCCAATTCTACTTTTTCAATAGTTTGACCTATTTTTCAATTCTTGCACAACTTCTCCAGCTAAAGCAATTGTATCTTATATGGCATTGCATCAAATATTGAAGCAGTGTCTTGTTGCTTATTCCTTATTGTCAATTATTTACCTGAGACAGACAATAAATTAGTACTCTCAAGATTCAGTTTATAATGGGAAGACAAATTTTAATAATCTGCTTATCCCAAGAGAGACTACTTACAACCCTTGCTTAGAATGTCAAGAGCTCTGATATTTTAATAATTTAGAATAATGAAAACATGACAATAAGCTCATTATGTGACAGTGAAAGGAGAAAGCTTTTCCACCTGACTGGAGATGTACCCACCCTGTGTTCCAGGGGAATGGTCTGGGCAGACTTCACTGGACTGCAGCCAGAGGGGTGCAGCAAGCTCTGCCAGCAGCCTGTAGACCTTCATAAACACATACAATAAAAGCTCTCCTACTGCAAATTTAAAGCAAACACAGGTTTTACAGATGTCATTTTCTCTTTGGCTCCATGAAGAAGCTGCTTCAGGATAAGATAAGCTGTGACACTCGAGCATGGAAGCCGTTCAGCACTGACTCCACGAATGAATGTTTTTATTCTACACTAAGACCTTTGTGGTTAAGTTTTTCCACTTCTAAAGAGAACAGTAATGATTCCTTTACAGCAGACCAAACTTATAATTAGCAGGAAACAAGTTATTTGCAAAAGCTATGCCAGCTATTTTCACAATACATTTGATGTCATGATTTCAAAATTCTGCAGTGAGAAAAGATTCCTACTCTACCATTACAGTTTTTTTTTCCATAGGAGCTATGTAGGAAAAAAATACCTGAAAGAATGCCAGAAATGGAGCATGCAATCCCAGGGATGATTGTTAGTACAGTTTCTTTATTAAGAAGTATCCACTTCCAGTGAGCCTGTGGCTATTCTTGAGTTAAATATTACCCAAGTGAGTAAGCAAAGGGCTGCATGTCCTCGGAGGCAGCTGTAGGCCCGTTTCTACTTCCAGTGAAATCGAGGTAAATCCCACATTTCTGCAAAGAATGAACCCACATTCTTTCCCTCCCTTTTGGATGTGTGCCCATACCACATGCTCTCTGTACATGTAAAATGTTTCTCCAATGACCACTTGACAGTAACCCGGGGTTTACAAATAGAAAATTCCTCCCCTCCTATAAAGAGAATAGCATTTAGTCTTTGTGACAGAAGATAAACCCCCCACTTCTCCTGCTAATCAGACATGCTTCCTTCCTGTAACAGGAATTATATCACTGCACTGATGGGAAGAAAAGGGATTTTTTTTAATGGTTGTTTTATCTATCACTTTCACTGAGACAGAAATTCAAGACTGATTCACAGATGGAAACCCCAAATGCCATGCAGCAAAGCATTCATCTATGGACAGGAAACAGCACGGGTTTGATAGGCTACAGTAAAGGTTATGCCACCTTCAAGTACTTTTTAAAAGACTGTACTGACACCTCCCTTAATACTTGTGTGACTAAACAAGGCACACATCAGAGCCTTTAATCACATACAGGGTATACAAGTGAAGTGCAATTTCCATGTGGCCCTACAGATCAGCCTTGATCCTCTAAAACTGATTCCATTAAGGCAAGTTTCACCAAGCTGTGTGGAAACAGAAGGATACAGGAAGAAGGAAAAAAAAGTGACATTTGAAATAATGAACTACAAAGGCTAGTGAAAGTACCAAATGCAGATGAGATCAGGAGGCATTGCAGAAGGAGCACTAAATTACAGTAACTGGTACCAGGGCAAAGAACACAAAGTCTGTAGAACAGGCTGGTTTAATTTTTTTTTTTTTAAATATGTACTTTCAGTGAGACTGGATAAGTACATGAAGGACTTATAGATGTTCACAAGCATGAATGTGAAATACCAGTGGGAAGGAGCAAGACTTTCTAATAAGCTCTCCTGAGGTACAACAATTGATCTCTGTCACATAAGCAGTAATGGGAAGCTTGACCTTGCCTTTCTGTTGATTTTTTTAGCTTTGGAGGCTAAAATTAACTTTTTAAAATATAATCATTTTTAATCTGACCCAACTAAACCCAAAAGAAAATAATAGATAAATAGCTGAATTGGACCCAGTCTGTTCCTAAAAGAAATATTTTTGTCTGTAAGTTTGTAGGATGCACTTTGCTTCTTCATTAGACTCATAGAAAATGCAAAAAAAAAAGAAATCCAAACTGAATCTAGACAAACTGTAACCTTGACTGTGAACCTAAGAGGCAAAATCCAGCTTTGTTAGCAACCCTCATCTACATGACACATCCACAAATAAGACTGCAGTTCACAGTGCACCTCACATGAACCCTGATCTGAATATAGAAAAGATCTTCCCTATTCACCTGCATCTGAAAATCATGTGGATGTGATACAGACCACATTTTTGTGGGGAACAAGTCAAGCCAACTGGAAGCTTTTTGAAGCTACAGTACATCAAGTGGGATTTTAGCCATATATAGATGTGAAACCATTTTTTTTTCATGGGGTAACGCTGCTGCAAAATGAGAGGTTTGGATCTGAAAAAGAATTTTCTGTTGCTTCCTTAACAAATGGCCTTTTTCCTTTCTGTTCTCCTTTCTGGTTCCCTATTCATGTAAAAATTATCCCAGGCTCCAGAACATGCTTTCTGTTTTGAAGTTTCCTGTAAATCAATATCTTTACGAACAGCTCGTGCAAAAAGCAAAATCTGTATGTGCAGGGACATAGAAGCCTTTAACAGCTCATGGTCTTTGTCAATTAATGATTCAGCTATCACATTAATTCTACAAATATACCAGAATGTTGGACTTAAGTGGCTGGGGATACTAATTTTGCTCACTTCTTTTACTTGAGGCTTCCAGCTGCCTTTGAACATCAGTCACACAATATACTGACTGGTGAAGTGTCTTAGTGCCTCTATCAAATAGAATGATGCAAAAGGCCCTATGGAAATATTCCTGGGAAAAAAAGTGATGCAAGAGATGGAGGAAGAAGCAACCCATGCCCTGCTGTTACTAAAGGACATGATGCACTGGAAGAGCTGGAGCTGTGCCCTGAGGTTGTGGGAAAAAAGTGGGGACAGTGAGGGCTCCCACAGGGCTCCCAGCCCTTCCAAGGAACAGCAGCATATTCTTGGACTCAGGTTGTTGTCTCCATCACACAAAATTGCTGGGAATTCTGCTGTCTTCCCCTGTACACTCTGCATAGACATTGTACAATTAATACAGCAATGAATCCAGTGCAGAGACCATGGATTAAAACTGCAGAACTTTAATTGCAGAACAAGAACAATTCTTACTGATGAGGAGTCTACCACAGAATTGGATATGACACCAAGTGACAAGCTGGAGTCAGTTTCTAGACAGATGTTTAGAAGAATACATGTGTAAGGAGGAGAATCTCACACAGGGAGCTAGATTTCTACTTCTAGAAGAGAGCATCTGTGGAACAAAAGTCTTTAGAAGGATTCTGCTGGGATGACAAGTCCAAGACAGTGCCTGTCTTGGACTAGTTGATCTTTCCTCCCATTTTTGAGGGCCCACAGCGCTCCATATGTGAGAACAACTTTATAGAGTCCTGACCTCAATTAGATACTTCCCAGTCAGCTGCACACACCTAGTTAAGAGATATGAATTATTCCCTCTCATCCTAAATTGTGACAGGTTTTGCCAGAGTGAGTGTTGTTCGTTTCCACCATGCCACTCCTGCTCCATTACACCTCTACTCTGCCCAAATCACACAGTGGCATCCAGCGCCTGAGGGAATGTGGTGTGTGGATGAATATTCATAGGACAGCTTCCATTCTTAAGGGTGACACACTGAGCAGTTTCAAGGACATTTCCCAAAATTCGAATCCTGAACTGTACTGAGACTTTGGTTTTCCTAGGGAGGGACTGCAGCAGATTTTCTCTGTGGGATGATTCAGTTCTTATGGGACCATAAGGAACTCTGAAAGACAGCATTTAGGCTGCAGATGCAAATTCTGGAAATTCTCTTGGGAACAACCTAACACATAATTTAAAGCCAACAGCTCAACTGGAGTTTCTATCCTAAGACAATGGTACAAGAGGGCCCTTTAGAAGGCAGAGTTGACTGCATGGTTTCCCAAATTCTGTCTTGGCAGTGATCACCAATGCACCATTCTACTAAAGAAACTTTAAAAAAAAGTTTAAAAAAATTAACATCCAGACATTTCAGATCATATTCTGCTGATAAATACTGTGATCCCGGTGAGGGGAGAAATTAATCCCATGAGTTTAACTGAAAAAAAATCCAAATGCTGAAGTGAGAGTTGGCAATAGGGAGGAGATTTTTATTGTCCAAAGGTGCTCTTTGACTGTGAAATACTGTGAGAAAAAGACCCTTTGCTGGTTCCCAAGCTACAGCATCCACATTTCAAGAGGTTGACACTGTTAGGAATCTTCAGAGAAAGTAAACACATTTTTCTGTGTATTTCTCAATAACATTGCAATCGTACTTCCTTTTTGCAACCAAAAAGAAAAACAGAATGTTTTTCTTTCAAGCAATTATCAAACACCTTCAGTGTGGACATAGAACAAAATGCTTAGCAAAACTCAATCCACAGACAAAATCTTCCAGAGGCAATAAGCAAGATGAAGGAAGGATGAAGATACTTGTTCATTTCCAGTGGGTGCATTAAGAGAGTAAATTTTAAAATCTGCTTTTTAAACCAATGTTTAAAACCATCAAACTCTGTTTGCTTTTCTTCCACACAGAGCAGACAACCACCATCAGAAACTGACCAGGCCGTATTTTAGGATATAAAACACTCCAAGGACTAATGCCAGCAGGGCTGATGATTTGGAACATTAAAGACTAAGAAAACTCTTTTGTAACACACACTTCAAAAGAGGAACCAATGAAGAGGCGATAAGTAAATAATAGAAGTAACAGTAAAATTAGCATTAGACTTTGGCATCAACCAGCAAATGAAAAGCAGAGATGCTATATAGACATCGATTATTGAAGAAGGTGGAGAACACTATAGAGATGAGACATCACTTTTATTAACCAAACCTGTTTAGAGAGATAAAACCCAGCAGCCTGGTCATGACAGGCATGGGTGACAAGTGACAAAGGGTTACTGGCAGTGGATGTGTGGGAGGAAGGCATCCCAGGCTGAGGTTGGTACTTTTCCCTGTCTACACTCCATTGATCCATAGTGAGCTGCACAGCACTTTGACATTTCCAAAGGCAAAACCATGGCTTGAAGAGTCTACCAAGTTAGAAGCTGCTGTTCAAATTGTCTTTTTTTTCCATGCTGGTGTTTTCCTGAGATTCAGAAGACTGTAACAATTCAATGTAGAGTAGAGCTGCGTGGTCGAGTCCAGCCCTCTTCAATGGGAGAACTGCACACTAGGCAGCTCTTGAAACCTCCTGTTAATGGCACTTTCATGCATCACACTGAGAGGTGATTGAGGAGAGCACTCATCTTGGTAGGCAGCTGGCAAGTGCATCAGGCCTTGGTATGGTCACAAAGTTCATGGTGCAGTGCAATAGTGGACAGATCTTTTCATGATCCTTCAACACTTCACTCAAGTGTTTCATTTCATCTGTTAGCTTTCCGATTTCTCTTTTCAGGGAGGTATTTTCTTGCTCAAGAGACTCATATTCCTGGAAGGAGGGGAAAGAAAAAAAACAACAACTTACAGTCAAAACATTCCTTTCAGTGCTTCCACCTCGAGTACATTCACATAACATTAGAAAAACAGTGTGGTTTCTTAGTTCAACTTACAAAGTGCTAAGAGAAAGACAGACCCAGCCTGGGTGCTGGAACAGGGAAAGTGCTTTACAACCTGTGCCCTGACCACACTGGGATTCCTTTCACAGCCCTAGAGACCAGGAGGTGCCACTTGCCCTCAGAGTCCCCAGGAGCTCAGGGCTGCAGGCAGGGATGGCTGTGGCCCCTGGTGGCCTCTTCCACCCCGGGCTGCCTCTGATGGGAAGGGCCAAGACGGACTCTGCACGGTGAGATCAGAGAAAATGAAAGCAGTGACTGCTGAGAGGTGCTGGGAAAACCCAACCCAGTGCCTGGCACTGCTGGTGAGAGAAGAGCAGCCCCTGCCCAGGGCAGTGCAGGGAAAAGCCATTTATCCAGGCTAGCACAGCATGTCCAGCGCTCTCCTCCAGGCCTGCCAGAGCTTGTAGCCACCTTCTCAGAAGCCTGGGAACTCAGGAGGAGGGAAGCATCATGCAGCTTGAGGCCAGACTCATTCTGTCTCCAGAAGGCCAGACAGACCACTGCCTTTGGTTATCCCTGACCAGGCTGCTTTTGAGCTAAGGCTTCTCTGGCAATAAACAAGCTGCTGTTAACTGCAGAGGAATTTTGAGTTGCTCTGCAGTATGCATGTCATGGATGCAAGACTCCTGTGCCACATTTTTTGATAACTGTCTGTCCCAAGTGTCCCTGCTTCTAAGCCTTCCCATCCCAAAGAGCAGAGAGCTGGAGGTTCAGGGCCAGCCCACTGGAAACATGCAGATGGATGTCTCGCTGCTGGCCCAAGGATCAACATCCACCCACTCAATCTCACCCCCCTGGGAAAGCTCCAGAGCAAACTTCAAAGCCTATGCGTGCCTGAAAAGGCAGCAGGGAGAGCCTCTCATGCAATGTTGTTCTAGGCAGCCCCTGGCCCTCCCCTGAGCCACCTCTCACAGAGCGAAACAGGCACAGTCCTCCTAACACAGCATTGGAGCCAAACTCCAGCCAAGCTGTCCTACCCCCACCGTCATTCTGCTCATCTCTTCTTGCCCCAAACCCCATGGTCCTGGTTTTGGAATAAATGTTGCTGTCCCATTGCTCAGTCTCATTTTCAGGGGTGAAACTGTCACGTTGTTCTTGCTAAGAATGAATGTCCATTCAACCAGATGTGCCCACAGCTGGCAAAACCTGTGTGCCTCAAAATGAAGATTCCCAGCACGAGGAAGATCCTCAAGTTCAGGAGGAATGTCAGATAGGCTGCAGGATGGCACCCAAAAATGATTCCACAAAAGCCAGGGCTTACCCCTTTTCAGAACTACCCTGCACCTGGCTTTCTCAGGCGCTGACTCAGAGGAGATCTGGGAAAAACCAAGCCCAAAACTCCCCACACTGTCCCTCTTAGTCTCTGCTAACTGCTGGCAAATCCTTCCACAGTGAGAAAGAAAAAAGCCCGTGATGAACCTTCAGAGCTGAGCAACTGACTCAGCCACAGTGGCAGTCAGTTTTGTGCTGCAAAAGTGACACCTGCCCCAAAAGCTGACACCTGGCTACAAGAGCACTGTGGTGTGAGCTAACATCCATCAGAGAAAAGGGATCCCTGTCCTCCAGTGTTTGCACTGGGACACAAGAAAAGCACACCACATCGTGATATTAAGAGCTTCTGGAAGAATCAATTACTTTCATTTCATCTGTTTGAGCACCCACTGTTATTTTTCAAGGCATACAAGTGTAACAGCCAGCCAAGCTGAGCTCTCATCCTTACAGGTTCCCAAGTTCCTAAGAAGCTTTTTCAACTGGGCATGTCTGGGAACCCTGTTGATGACACCACAGTTCTAGAATTTATTTAAGCCAGCATTGCCACTGCATGGTCCCCTCCTCTTCCATCACCTTCTACCTTGTAAGACGGCAAGAATTCATCCATTGTCACAGCAAACATGACAAGCTTAACACTGTTACAGAAGAAAATGGTTCTGGTTTAGCCCAAAGGAGCCCTGTGATCCCATTCTTTGGGGGTCACAGGAAGAGCAAAAGAGGGAGGATGAGGCAAGGGCTGGACCTTGTCTCTCTCTTCCTAGCAGTGTCACTGAAGGCAGAGCTGCACTGTCCAAGAGCAGCATCAGTGTTTGGAATTCCCGACCAGGCATCCCATAGCACACCTTCTGTGCCTCACACCCACAGCTCCCTAAGCAGGATTGTGTGAAAACAGGCCCATGCCTGCTTAAGAATTCCAGTTTATTGTAAAGTCCTGCGCTTGGTACCCAAGCCACGCCTGCAAAGCACCAAGTACCCATTCACCTCGTGAAGTTTATCTGCTTTCTGCGTTTGCTTCTTCCGGCTCCTCTGCGCAGCAACTCGATTCTTTTCTCTCCTCCTTACTTTTCTGTCATCTTCTTCCCGACTCTGGAAGACACCAGCCAGAAACACTTCGCTAGTTTGCAAGGTGCACACAGAAGATGCCCGAAGTCGGGTGTGCAACTTTCTGAGAATGAACAATTTCAACTTTACAGCGTTGATGCTCTGTTTCCCAGAGACCGCATGGTCCCTGCAAACAGCAGCGCATCCCTCGGCCCCGCTGCACAGGCGGGCCCGAAGCGGAGGGGTGGAAGCCGGCAGGCTGCCGGGGGATACCGCAGGGGCATTGCTACTGATGGGGGGAGCTGGGGCACGGCAGGCTGCCGGGGATGCCGCAGAGCCCCGCGGGCAGGGGCATTGCTACTGCTGAGAGGAGCTGGGGCACGGCAGGCTGTCCGGGGAATGCCGCAGGGGCACTGCTACTGATGGGGGGAGCTGGAGCACGGCAGGCTGCCGGGGATGCCGCAGAGCCGTGCTCGCAGGGGCATCGCCACTGATGGAGGGAGCTGGGTAGCCGAGCGGGGACCGGCGCTCCCGCTCTGCCGGCGGACAGCACTTTGCACCTGCCTCGCTCCGGCGCGGCCGACGGGCGGAGGTGCGAGCAGCGGGCAGGAAAGCGCTGCTCCCTTCCCGGCTGCCCGCGGCTGGGGAAGAGCCGCTGCCCGGCCGCGCCCCGGCGCTCTCCGCGCACCGCCCGCGCTCCCACCCGGGCAGAGCCGGCACGGCGGCGCCTCCCGGGAAAAGAAGGGCCGATGCCCAGGGCAGGGGGCACCCCCGGCGCGGCGCTGCCCGGCGTGACTCAGCCCCATGTGCCCGCCCGCCCCTCCGCAGCCCGGTGCCTACCTGCTGGCCGCCCTCGGCCGCCGCGCCCCGGGACAGCGCGCTGGCCCCCGCCGCCGCCGGGAGGGCGCAGGACATGCCGGCGCCGCCGAGCCGCCCGCAGGGCTCCCCCGGCCCGCGGGGGTGCGAGTGCCGGCAGCGGAGGGAAGGGAGCGCAAGGGCAGGGAGGGGCGGGCCGGGGCAGGGGACGCGCCGCCCCGGGCCGGGGGTGCCGCCGCCAGGTGCCGGAGCGCCCGGGGCGGAGCCGCCGCCCACATGGCCCTCACATGGCGCCCGCCCGCACCGGGAACCCGGGACCACCGGGCCGCCCCATCCCGCGCTGCTCCCCGCGGGGACCGCCCCCCGGGACAGCCGGGAGCCGCGGAAAGTCCGGGTCACGGCGCTGCCGGGCAGGAGCTGCCTGAAAATCCCCCCGGAGAGCCCCAGCCCCGCGGGCCGGCTGGGCTCGACGCCCCCCCTGGGGGCCCGACTCGCTCCTTCGCCTGCAGAGTTGAACTCCCCGCAGTTTCTGTGCTCTCCCCGCTGCCCCCAGCCCGTGTGTTCCCCGCCGCTCACCTCCGGCCGCTCCTGCACGCCGCGCTCCTGCGACATCGGCAGCTCCACATGTGGCACAGCCAGCCCAGCCCGGGATCGTGGGGGTGAGGACACGGCATCCGTGCTGGGATAAAGCGATTTTCACTTTCGCTACTCACCCTGTTCCTTTAAATAATAAGGAAATGCGACAGACTTCTTGTAAAGGCAAAGCCAGACTAAGAATGCTGGAAATACAGTTGCTGCAGACAAAAATCTTTCTCTTCCATTATTCTGTCGAGAGTATTTTAACAGAACACTGTTTCTTTTACCTCTCAGAATACCTTTTTGCATTTTAATTGCAGTTACCTTGGCCTCATGCTCTGAAAGGGAGTGTTTGCACTGACAGCTACTTCAACATCCTTGCTCTTCTGCAAAAGGGTTTGTACCCTCCTGGCTGTGCTCAGCTCACAGAGGTAAACACATGGCGATGAGAGGAGGGTATGTGCCCCCAAACTGCAGGGCAGTCGGTCACAAAGCCCCAGGTATCTCCATAAATCTGATACTTCCCTATTTTTCTGGTTTCCTCAGCAGCTTGAGTCATCCAGCTTAGATGAAGTTATAGAGTTGGCAAACTGAGTAAATATAGGCTGTCCTTCCAGGAAGATCTGGCTAACAGTTCATACTGAAGGTGAGGGAACCATGCTCCCCCGAGTCCAAGAGTCAAGGTGACGCCTGTGCTCTGCCACATGTTTCCTGGTAGGCTCTGGGACTGTGACTACAAGGCTTGAGCATGACTTCCTTGGTTTGAAGGGCTTCTCCCCAGCTGTTCCACCTCAAAGCAGCTTGTGTCTCAATCCTCCAGGCTATCCATGAATTTATTTGATTTTGCACTTTTCCAAGAGCTTCTCCAACCTTGGAGGACCGAGTCCCTGTGAGTCTTGCCACTCTAACAGCCCAGGGGAGGTGGCTGATGACCACAGCTGGGAAGAACAATTGCCAATATACCCTGACCTAACCTGCAGCCCCAGACTGTGCTGGGTCTCTCCCAAGCATCTCACAGGGCATTCCCTGGTTTCTTCAAAAGCAGTCTTGCTTCTTTCTTGCTTTGCCATCCAATGTGCCAAGAGCAGGATGTTCACCAAGGGCTGCTCATGGAGGCAGCAGTAAGGTGTGGATTCAGTGCCATGCTCCAGCTGAGGGGATGCAGACCAGCACCTCCTGGACTAGGCAGAGGGCTATTAGAGGGTGAATTGCTCTCAAGTGCTCCTCTGAAACAGCCTAACTACACCTCGTGCAGTTAAAGGGAAGCAGAACACAAGGGCACAAACACAGACTTAGTTGGGACAGTTGCTTAAAAAGAGAGCATTGAAATCTTGCTGCCTTTGTAGCTCTAGCTCAGTTGAAATAAACAGGAGGCAGTATTTTCACAAGCTCAGGGAACAGGTATGTTCTCTTGCTATGAACCATGTGGATAAAACACCTCAACATCCCTCTGGAGTGATCTGTGGGAAAGAAAGTCCCCTTCCACGGAGGGACTTTGAACTCCATGCTCCAGGAGCAATGCTGCTGCAAATGGCACCTGCACCAGCTACCTGACAGCATCAAATCATGAGCAGCTCACCAAGAATTTATTAGTCCTGAGTAAATATCCACCTCACTGAGTAATTCCCAGCAACTGCAGAATACGGTTTCCAGGATAACACAAGCATGGGAGAAGCCAGGGGACAGTCCCCTTGAGCCTGAATAGTCTGTTCTTGTTCAGAACAAATGACAAAGGAAATGACAAGTCAAAATTTGCTTGTGGGAACAAGTTTCTACTTAGTATTAAAGCTATCTCTGGTACATCTGTAGAAATGCCTACACAGTAATTCCAGGTAGTGCAGCAGTAAAGGCAGAGTGTTTCTGTGCAGGAGAGAAAATCAGCCCAGAAAGCAGCTTAGTCAGCTGAGCTTACATTTTATAATGGCAGTTTATCACTGATTTTTGTCTGCACTGAAGCAGCCTACACACATGCAGACTGGTTTCTGATCATAGCTTAGCACAGCATGGCTCTCCTGGAGAATGGCACGTGTCAGAACTGGGTCTCAGAGCACCCAGGCTTCCAAACAGACATCAGGGTCCATGTGAAGATGTCTGGAAGAGGAGCTCCCTCTTTACAGTTCGTAATCCCCTTTGTTCAGAAAGTACACACGGCAAAAGCATGCGTGGAAGCTGCTCCAATTTGCAAGTTTTTCTTGGCCAGGGATGGCCTAGCCTCATGAGCAAAAGGCACACTGCAGACAGGACACACTAACAAACAGTGAGATGTTCTGTCCCGCCCCCAAAAGCCAAGAAATTCAAACTCTGTTTGCAAATGAACCCAAGCATCCCTCACCATTGAGCTGTGTTACAAAATTCAAAGGCTATATAAAGAAAAACTACCAGACATTTCTTGATGCAATACCAATTCGCCCCAAGTTAAAAATAAGAAGCTTGGCTGTTGTGACATTTCAGTAGAAGCCTGATTAGACATGTCTTGCACAACACTGCCTATTCCTATGAAAAGTTAACAGAAGGACAAAAGGCTACTCAGTGGGGAAAAATGAAGTGTTTTATGTATTTCTGCCAATGGGAAGAACAGCTAGTTGCAGGTATCACTGGCTGTAGAATTTTTTAATAACCATTGGAAAAACTGCTGAACATTCATGTTGAGTTCAAGTCATCACAGAACTTGCATTTAAAGGAAGGTTCTCTTTCCAGTGTTGCTTGGCCAAAAGTAGCCATCAGATTTTTAAATTCCTAGTTTATACACTGCACTTGGAATCCTGATTGCTTTATCTTTTTCTTTATACAGTCCACTTGGCCAGCATTTCCAGATGCATTTTTCTTCTTCCATGCAATTGCAGTTGCAACACAGGCTATGGAAAAGAAGACCAACTGCTCTAACTCAGAGCATCCATTCCCACTTACCTGAAATCCTGTACAGGCCAACTATCCTTTAGTCTCTAAACAGAAACATGCACTGTGTGAATTTATTTATTAAGTCTTAAATCACAGTGCTTTCCCTTTTAATTTCTTATGGCATTTGTCCTACCCCAGCTATTTCTGAGGGAACTTCTTCAAAGAGATACCTATTCCTAGCTATTTTCTGTACTTGCCTGTCATTTGCAGAGAAGAGCAGAGAATCTTCCTATTAACAGAGGAAATGGCCAAACACTGTAACAGTGGCCATGCAGAATCTTGCAGGGCTCACCTTAGCTCAGCAGCAGCCAGGATCTGTGTGAAGAAAGCCGTAGCAGGGACTTCCAACGCCGCACAGAGCGCGGGCACTCAAAATAGCAAGGGGCTGTGTGAGCAGCAGTCTGAGCCACACACCCCACAGCCCTGCAGCTCCAGTCCCTCTCACATCCTGTCCTCTCTCACCCAATAAGCTTTGCAGCCCTGAGATTAATAACACTTGTGAGTTCAAAGGCAGTAAATGGAACTACTTCAGTTACTCAAGCCAGAATTTAACACAGATGTCCTCTGAAGTACGCTCACTGCTCAGCCACCATCTATTCCAGGATTAGAACCGACAATATTGATCTTCCTTAATTGATTTAATTTACTTCATATAAAAACACACATTTGTATATACAAGGTCAGGAAAAATATTTACATATTATTACATATACAAAGTCTCAGTACAGATGCGCTCACTTTTACAAAAGAAATGATGCTAAAATATGTTTTCTTGTGAACTCTCAGTCTCTTAGACATGAGGTTGGACCTGTCTTCTTAGCACCAAACATGTCATTAATAAAGCTCCTAAAACCCCCCTCCATTTACTGTGTAACAAATATGTTACATACTAGACAGGAGTATTTACTGCAGGCACATGCAACCATAAACTAGAAAAAGTTATAAATGCTTAAGGCACAAGGCTCAATTTAGTACTAATTTCCAATATTCTAGGCACTAATGAGTAAAGAAATCAAAAGTAAGCTAGCTCAAGTGAATATCATTAACTGGTAGCCCCTACTGATCTTTAAAGTTTAGTCAACACAAATGCAAACATAACCCAAGTCAAGATCCTTTCTTGGGTAGAAATATTGCTCAGGAAAACCCCAGGTGCACAACTGGATTACATTAAATGATTTATCAGACCCTAAGATGTTGATGGTTGAATTCGTGTTCAGAAGAGCACACTGCAAGTAAATACATACCATTATTAAAAATCCAAATTTCAACAAACATGACTATAAATAAGCCTAAATGACCTACATTCAGGAAAGGTAGGATAGCAAGGACTAATGTCACATGTGTGCATAGACTTCCTTAAAACTCCAACATTGCACCAAATTTGGTGATTTCAATATGCTGCAGTGTCAATTCATTAATATAAAAGCCACATGCCTCAGTAATTAATGAAGGTGCATTAGGAGAACTAGACATTCTCCAACCTCTTTAGAGACATGCTCAATGTAAATGAGCAGTTAGTGGTTTCCTAAAAGACTGCTCACATACATAAAGCATGCACATGAACTCTGAGAAGCACAAGGACTCAAGCTAAAAACTGCAATATAAGAGCAAAAAATTAGTTAAATGGCAAATACACTTGCTGGATATTGGAGGCTACTGGTACATGTACCATATATCATCAGCATGTCAGCAAAAATAGAAATATTTAAGAGGTCAAGGACTCATTAAAGAAGCTCCCATGTATAGCACTGAGGGGAGATGAGTTCTAAGAAAAAAGATGGAACACATGGAACAAAAGTACAACTGAGATTCCAATGTGAAAGCACAAAATGAGAAATTCATGCACTGAGAGTGATCTTTCTCCGCCGCAGTGGGTAGCGCCTTCTCCCGGGGGAATCTGCAGCTTTTCTTCTTTTCAGCAAAACATAAGGATTTTTACTGCAAACAGTTCCTGTTGGTGTGACTTCTCCTGGTGGTACTGAATTTTGGACATTGTTTTCCTCCTTCACCTTGAAACCAGAAAAGACTTCTTGCCGTAGCTTGCAGAGTTCCAAGGTTGGTTGCATAGTCAATGCTTGGGAAAAACCTTCTGCTTTTTCTATGAGTGCTGGAATACACTGCAAAAACAAACCCGAGGATCTCAAGTTACATGGGAAAAACAATGGTCATAAGGCATGCAATATGCTAATGAGATTCTGACAGGCACAAAAGCTTCAGTGTCTGCAGAGATGATGCTCAGGATGGCAAGTGAAGGCTGTGAATGCAGAGCTACCACCCCAATAGTGAGGTGTCTGCACCCAGAAACCATGCAAAGAGCGTGCCAAGGTGAAGTGTTCCCACATGATATCTCTAAGCTCAGGCAGTATCACAGGAACACCACAGCTCCTAAGCAGGTACTGAAGTAACAAATGTCATACTCTAGATGAAGCCATACAAGTCTTCAAAAGATGTTTTTCAGATGCTGCAGGTTCCAAAATCTCAATGGAAGCATTTCCTGGGTAATCTCCCTTACTACCACATGAGGGAGAATGTTTTACACACACAATGCTTTACCTGCTTCCTCAGTACACACACAGGCTTTTTTGTACCAAACTATAAGAAAGATGAGTTAGGACTCCTGTTTTGTGACATATTACCAGATCAAGAAGATAAAAACATATTTCTCTTGGAGCACATGGAGGTCTCACCTGCATGGCTTCGCTGATCTGTTTGGATGCCACCTCTGCCGCCTGCTTCAGATCTGCGATGTAAGCATCTGCAGACAAACACAGCCAAATCAACTTCTGAAACATAACCCTTTCCCCCACTGCTCACTATCAGAAAATGGACAGAAAACCAGTAAAGTCCCATATAAAACCTAAACCTGCAGCACATCCCTTTCCCTGGAACACTGAGAACAGCTGGCATGGTATATCTCACTAGTAGTACTCTGTATCACTCAAATTGCAGAGGCTAGCAGTCCCAACTACAGAAAATCCCAAAGTTCTTACCTAAAAAACCACAAAGCCAGTATTTGAAATAAGAGAACAGTTGTAAAGAAATAATTACACAGGAAGATTTGTTTTCAAAACTTTTAAGCTCATATTCCATTTGATAAAACCCACACAGAACACAGAGAACAGACACCACTGTGGGGAACAGGAGATTTAGAAAACCCATTTTCAGAAGGGCAAATACAATAAAGGCTGGGATTTTTTTCTTCTGGCTTAATTTATCAACACCAAAAAGAACCAAACATAAATAACATGAACTGTATTAATTCTGCTGTGCTAACAAGAAAAAATCCCCCAGCTTTCAGGAACACTGAAGCAGGCAGCAGGTGCAGAACACCAGCATATATTTGACTCTAGTAGCAATGTGATAATATCACCAATACTTTAATTCTGTATTCAAGAGTTAAACTCTAGCCTATTATGAAACTGTTTTGCATGTTCTCCATCCACAAAACTTAAAATGAGCACACTAGCATGCTTCTGGGAAGTAAGGAGCCTCACCTCCACTACTATTAGTTTTCTGTAGGGTTTCACCAGTGCCTGCAGTAGGACACAGTGGCAGGTGGTGCACAAACCCCTAAGCCCTGTCAGGGTTAAACACAGCATTTGAAGTCAATCTTATCTGTGCTGCTGAAGGCATTTAGAATCAGTCACAGCATTCTAGCTCAGGGTTACAGTGATTCCCTGCTGAAAGGTGGTAACCACCAAGGGATGGTGCTTGTTGAACTGTCCATGTATCCAGTGTGCTGCTCAGAGCTGGTTTAGGAACACATGATCCCTACATGAACATAGACACTAAAATGAACCATCACTCAGTTTGGAAGAATCAGCAGTCCAGAAGCAACCTCTTTAAACTCATCTCAGAGCCCTGTGGAAGGGCATTCTCTAAAAGAAGGATATCTCTACAATGAAGCATTCTTATAATAAAGTATTGGGATGAGAAGGCTGGTGACCTTATGAAATTGTAAGGATGGAGTTAAATGAAAGAAGAAATAATTATCTGGATTACTGTACAGAAAGACTGACACACAGTTAAATGAAATTTGCCTGCAAGAGTTTGCCTTGACATAGACGGCATTATATTCCTCAGTGTTCAAGGCTTTCCAAAACATAGGGAAACGAAACAAGGAAATGAAAGGTATTGAGTAATCTAAACATTTTTGGTTTCTGGCCACTGTACTTGCTAAACTGGGATACATAAACTTCCCAAAGACTACATAATACCAGAATGCTCCACAAACTCCGTGGCATCTTTGCTACAACTTTGCTGTTACCAAACCCAAAACTACAATATCAGTGCAAGCTGCTACTAACTTGCAAGCAGTGGACTGGCATGAGAAAAGCCTGGATTTGGACACTAGAAACCAAAAGGAACTCAGATACAAAGTGACCACTGTACTGCTCCTACTGGCTGCTTTGCTGCTGGAAGCCATGTCTCACATCTAAAAGGAGGAAATGATGTTTAGAATGAAGTCAGATCAGCAGGGTGAGAACTGAAGACTCAGCTCAGCTCCTCAAACTCTGAGCACCGCTGCTTGTTACATCATGTGCAGTAATCCATAGTGAGGGTGCTCACTTTTCAAATTAGAACTGCAATGCTGAATTCTGTCATTATTCAATACTTAACAACAGGTAACATACAACTCCCCATTTATTAAAGCCAGCCTCAAAAGAGGACATCCCAATCATCCACTGCAAAATCCACCACCTTGTTCCAAGGAGTCTGCACAAGGCATCTTTCCAAAGCATGCAGCAAACTTACAAGATTGTTTGCAGCTCTGTTCCCTCATCAACCCTCACAAGTGGCACAGGCAGGATGAAATCTCTGTCCTAGTTAGGAGAGTCAACACTGCCACCACTGAGTCCTACACAACAGCTTTTCCCTGAAGGAAATGACTGATTAGTCAGAGAGGCTGAAGCATTTCTAGTACTTGTGTAAAATGAACACAAGAAGAGATGAAGTTCAATGTCAGTGATCCATCAGTTCCTCATCTGGCACCACCAGTGATGAGGGAAAGAAGTAAGGAAGCCTTCTGGGGGCAGCTGTGTGACAATTTCTCCCCAACACACACACACACACACACACACACACACACACACACACACAGAACTTTTTGCCTTCAAGTACAGTGCCTAACTGCAGGCAGCACCCAGAATGAGAGAAATGCACACAGTAAAATTCAGGCAGCAATACGTTCACTTATGACAAACTTCTAGCTTTTTTGTTAATTTATAAACAGCCAATTTTAAACAAGCTTAAAGAAAGAAAACTTGTCAGACATTTAGAGTTAGCCAGTAAGTGAGGCAGTGTTTCCTCAGTACAGCTGCCCTCCCCACAAAGTCTTTACCTTGAGAAGGCTGAGGTCTTATGTCTGCTGGTTTTACCACAGGCTGGTAGAGCTTCTGCATATTAAAAAAAAAACAATTGTGAAATACTCCCTTGGTTTAATAGATACCTAATATATATATATATGGATATTGTGGTGAAATTATTTAGATCAAGAATGTATTAGAGGTACAGATTATAGATACTTAGTTACTGAAAATAGCATTCTGGTTAACACAGTTACACTCACTGTAAACACATCTCCAGAAATCTGCTTTACTTGGCAGAATTCTAATTATTAAAGCATGAGAACTGACATCCAGGGCATTTTGGAAGAAGCATTGCCACCTGCTGCATGACTGAGGAAAAAGAGCTGCTCTAGCTTCTCAAGAGCCATTCACAGAACCAGCATGCTTTCCCTGAGCCACAAACTCCAACAAAAGGTGCATTAAGACAAAAAGCTAAGAAAAAGAAAAGTACCTAAACAAGTACACTCTAGCCCTGCAATTACTTATACAGAACTAAGAACACTCTGCTTCACACACTGTGAGTCTTGTGCCTTACATCAGTTAACTGAGACATGAAGAGAACTAGTAATAACTGAATACAACCCATTCTCAGTTACATTAAAGGTGCAATTAGAAGCAGCTAACAGGGAAGAAGGACACAAAGCAAGGCCAAGGGAACAGAAGTTACATCATCTGCAAGTTAGTGTTCTCCACTTCAGGAGCTGTCCCTCAACCTTCTTCAGGCAACAGCAAGTAGGGGAAAGCTAATTATTCCTTGCTGTAGTTTTGGGAGAAATTTTTTTCACAGTCCACACAAATTAGCAAGTTTGCAGTAACAGCTTCAAGCAGGAGAGCAAACATGGCTTGCATTAGCCTCAAACTCTACAGACCACATCGACTGAAAACCCACAGGACGATCTCCTGCTTTGGCAGTGACAAGGAAATCACCACAATAAATGACTGGTTCTCTCCAGATAAATCACATCTTCATGGCTGCTTTTATGCCTCAGAAAGCATCACTCATTTAGCTATGATGATGAAAGAACAAAAGAAACACTCAACCAAAACCAAAGAAACCACTGGTACCTTTGCAGAAATAGCTGAGAGATAAAAAAAAGGACCACTTACAGAGATAAACTAAGCTTTCCATATTTCTTACATGTATTTTTACATATTCTTACAGAGATAAACTAAACTTTTGCAAGAATTTTAATTAAAATTCATCTAGTTGTGGTGGTGTAAACTTTGAAGAGATCAGCAAGAGAAAAAAAGCAGCATGAAAGGCATTCCAAATAACTAATCCACCGTGGCACTCAGGTAGCAGAAAGATTAAAAGGTCTTGTTAAATCTTGGGGTTATTCAATAGCATATTTTATTTAAGTTGATTTTGTTTGTTTTACATACTTAATATACTGACAAAACAGAGAGATCACAAAAAGCAATATATATCAGAATATATCTCAGGTGTAAGACAAAGTGCGCACCTGTGCACTTTTCCTTGCTGTAAATCATCTCTGCCTGGCCAACCTAGAGAGTTAACATCTGTCAATTTTAGTCCTCAGAAATACAATGCAGGCTCCTACACAACTTTCTAAAAAATTCCCTGTCTGCTTTTGTATAGAATAGCTGAAGTTGGAAAGGACCTCTAAACATCCTCCTGAAGTGAGGCCAACTAGGGCAGGTTGCTCAGAACCTCATCCAGTCAACTTCTGAGTGTCTCCATGAATCTCTCCCAGGATGAAGATGGCACAGCTGCACTGGGCAGCTTGTGCCAGTCTTTGACTCTGCCTCAGCCTCTTGTTTTTTTGCCAAAGGAACCCTAATTAATCAGGAGGTAAGCAAAAGGGAGGCCTAACATAACTTCAGGGAAGAAATCCAGCAGTTGAGGACACAACCGGCTTGTTTAACGCCAGTAATTACTTTACACTGTGTGTCAAAAATCCCACAGAACTGACTGTGCTGATTCATTAATCCACACTGCCTTTTGCTTTACTAAAAGTCATTACTCCCAGTATTTACTAGCTCAAGAAAAGTGCTTGGGAAGATGCTGACATTTTTTAAGTGGTACACTGCATGTGATACTATCTATCTGTATGTAGTGTAACATTTAGCACCTCAACCTCAGCCAGTCCAGCCCTTGGGCAAGGACTTGAGGAACTCAAGATAAACAGGTGCCTACTGGCTTGTAAATCCTGAGTCACCAGGCTGAAGCAATCTGCTGCAGTTTCTTTGTGTCACAGACCCAATTCAGACACAGTCACAATGCTTTGTAGCAACCATCAGTAAACTTCCTAAGTTTAACCCTTAGTTACTGCAGAACCAGTTAATGAAAAAAAAACAATTTCATTTTATGATAAAGAATCCAAAGCAATCATGGGAAGAAGCTTAAAGGTCAACACTGGATGATTGATTTCTTAATGCAAAGGTTTTCTGGAAGTCTCAGGTTACTCACCAACATCTCCTGCTCTGCTTTCATGGTTTCAATAGCATGCACCAGGATCTTTTTAGGCCACTGTTTACGCCTAGTTGCTGTCTCTACTATTAATTCATCAAATTGATCCTCCAGAATTTTAATATTGGAATCTGAAAGTGACAAAGACACATAGTTACTATGGAATTCTCTTTTTTTTTTTTTTAGACAAACTTGTCAAGAAAAAGAAGCTTTAGATCTCAAATTTTAAAAAATCATGCATGATTATCAACACAGAAATAAATTGATGTCTCAAATCTCCTTGCTAAGAGAGTACAGAGATTGGAGTATAACTTGATGTTGGCCAGTTATTCTGAAGTAAATGATCTGGGGTGGGGAGAGGGAGAGAACCATCCAGGGGAAAAAATAACAAATGTATTTCCCTATGAACTCTGAATCTGTGAAGAAACTCTTATGAAGCAATGGCTATCTTTTAAGGAGAAAAATGGTTTATCTGTGTGATTTACAAGCATTAAACAAACTCCAACTGCACAAACAGTAATTGGAAGCCTAGCTGATTTTACATCACACAGTGCACAAATAAGCAGTTTAAGATTAAAATTCACTGTTCCCACTAATGTGCTGAGTATAACTTGCAAGCCATGCAATGTTTTCAATCTAGTGGTAAACAATGGATTTTGAGCACCCCCTCTGGGTAACTCTGTGCAGAATCAAGTGATTACAAAACTCAGAAAGGAAAGGCCAAGGTTTTAAGACTCTGTGAGTTTGTTTTGGTTGTTTGTTTTAAGATCACCATGAAACCATTTAAATATAGACAGGAAAGACTTAAGCCACTGATCAACATAAATACAGAAGGTACAAACTGACACATCTCTTGGTGACTCAAACAGGATCAGAGCTAGGCACATGAATAAATGTATATGGAATTAAAAACACAATACAGTCCTTACACCTGCTTTATGCAGCTGTGGGCAGATGACAGTGTCTCAGTTTTGCATTTTGCATCATGAGTTCTGTGCATTTTTGACCTTATAGTCCAAGTACCTGGAGTTTTATCATTCTAGAACTACAACTGCAGACACTTCACAGAATCAGAGAATAGTCTGGGTTGGAAGGGCCTTTAAAAGTGATCTAGTCCAAGCCCCCTGCAATGAGCAGGTACATAGTAGGTAAATGGTTCAACTAGATCACACTGTTTAGAGCATCCCGACCAAAAAAACGGTTCAATGCTTTTGGTTCAACAGCTCCATAGTTAGCTCAATGTATCTGTATTCTCAGCTCTATGTAAATGCAAAAAGCATTAAACTACAAGCAAAGACCACCTAAAGCCAACACAGGTGAGTGAATGAACCACATTGAAATTTTCTTTGGACACCAGACTACCAAGTATCTCCACTACTATTATTCAAAAGACAGTAATTATAAATACATTGTTTCTATTACATATATTTATATAGCAATAACTTTCAACACTTGATCTGTATATTCAATAGCAGCACAAGACAGTCTCCTAGGATCCTGTGACAGATCTTGGTCACTGCCCCCAACACTGAGACTGGAAGGGCGCTCCAGAGCCTCCTGCTCACAGCAGAGTCAAAGCCCATTTCAAAACAGGTTGCTCCAGAGGGTTTGTGGAAGCCTCAAGTGCTGGAGACAAGCTCTGGGCGCCTTTTCCAATGCTCCGTTATCCTAAGAACGAGCTTTTACTTCCATATATCAAGTCAGAGGCTCCCCTTTCAATCGGGCCCCTTTTACCTCTGGACAAAACCAAACCAAACCCAGCCCGGGGAGCGGGAAGCGAATGGAAGCGAGGCCTACCGCTCTGCAGCCGGGAGTCATCCGAGGCCTCCTCCCAGGGCTGCCCGTTAATGGTGACGTTCTCCCGCACCGCTGTCTCGAAGTTCTGCAAGGCACGGAGCAGACTGAGAATCCATCGGTCCGTCCGTGAATCCATACATGCATCCCTCAGGAAGAGTCCGTCCCGCCTGACTGCCCTGCCCACCCCGGTGCAAGCCGCCCGTCACCCCGGCTGCCGAGCGCTGCCAGCGGGGCCTGCCGGGCCCTGTGCCGGGACGTTCCCGCTCCCCAGAGCTCACCCAGATCGCGTCCGCCTCGGCGGCGGCCCCGCCGGGCTGTCCCTCCGCCAGGGCCCGCACGAAGGGCGCGCACAGCTCCAGCACGGCGCCCAGCCCGCGCCGCGAGCAGCAGCGCACCCGCGGGTCCCGCCGCGCCTCCCCCGGCCCCGGCTCCGCGCCCGCCGCCTCCGGCTTCGGCGGCGCCTCCATTTCCCGCCCGGGACGCGGGGAAAATGCCGGCCCGGAAGCGGAACCCGCGGCCGCCCGGTGCCTTCCCGCCGGGCGCGGCATGGCGGGGCCGGTGGACTGTCACTGCCACCTGGCCGCGGCCTGCTTCCAGCCGGTGAGGCGCGGCGGGCGGACGGCCGGGGGCAGTCCCGAGTGCCGGTCGCAGCCTTGGTGCTGAGGCGGTGCGTGTCTCTTGCAGGACGTGGCGGCCGTGGTGCGGGCGGCGGAGCAGGTGAGGCGGGGCGGCCGGAGGGGACCCTCTGCCCGCGGCCCCGCTGGTCTCAGCGGGCCGGGGGTCTCTGTGTGCCGCAGGCGGCCGTGTCGGCGCTGGTGGTGGTGTCGGAGCAGGCGAGCGAGTTCCGGAGCGTCGTGGAGCTGTCCGAGAGGTGCGAGGCCGGCGGGGATCCCGCGCCCACCCGGGTCCGCGCCTTGGGGACTGACGGGGGATGCGCTGCCCCCCTCAGTCAGGCCGACCCTTCTTGGCTCTAAACCTGCGCTCTCTGCGGGCTCTTGGCGTTAAACTTGGGTCTCTGTGGTTCTTCACACTGTCGCTATCTGTTCCGTGCCTAGATTCCCAGGGTTTGTCTTGCCATGCCTGGGAGTTCACCCCGTTCAAGAGATTTCTCCAGGGGAGCAGCGCAGTGTTACTTTGAAGGTAAAACGCGGCCTCTAAAATACTGCTGGGACTTTTCAGGACAGACGACAGGATGCTCCGATTTGCCTGATTTACCTTCAGTGGTTTTTCTGCCGTCTGTCATGCAAGGAGACCCAGTGGGCCAAATCCCAGGCTCTCTCAGCACATCCATTTGTCCCCGTTAGCCCTTAAAGCAGAATTGTTGTCTGGAGTCATCTGGCTGTATTACTGCAGTGAAATGGTTTTAGAAATCCCAAGCGTGCTTTGCTTACAGCAAACAACATATGCAGATGTTCCTTTGTTAACATGGGAACTGGAAGGCAACTGTTTATTGCCTTATCCTGAAAATCTCAGGGAGCTGTCTGCAGCTATTTCAGGTTACCGAGTTATTTTTGGGCCTTGTTTTAATTATCTCTGCTGCTACTGTGAAAAGTTAGCTCAGGAGTATTTAGAATAAGGTTTTAAGATATATATATATACATATACATATATACATATGTATATATATACAGAGAGAGAGACAGATAGATATAGATATAGAATGTAATAATAATATGTAATGAATATATGTAAATAAATGGTTATTAAGTAAAGAAGATGAATCCTTCAAACTTCTAAAATCTGACTGCACAGCTCACAGTAATGGCAAGTTGTGAAGTACAGAATTTCAGAATAGTGAAGGAAGCACCAATTTTATCATCATGCTGGGTTCATAACCTTTCCCCTCGTATGGGCAGTGAGAGTTGCATCTTTTATTCTTGCAGGATCTGGATGCTGCACTGCCTCTTATAGAACATTACAAAGACAAGTTGGTGGGGATTGGAGAAGTGAGTGGAATTCTATAACTTGTTTAAATCTCTCCAGCAGCAGCTGTCACTGGAATTACAAAAACTGAGTCAATGCTTGTTTTTCTGTGTGTGATAAGAATTGCTATCAGCCTGAATAAGCACTAAGGCTGATTGGTAGTTCTCTTAATGTGCTTTCCATTATAGCTTTGCTTGATTCCTTCTTTTCCTTTGTTATTGCTATTAGAAAATAGATGGAATTTATGTTGCTGGAGTTGTTGGAAGATTACATACTTATGCTCTCTCATGTTATACCCAAAGGCAGGTCCTTGCTGCCTTCTTCTCTGACAAAGTTAGGCTAAGCTGTGATTTCAGTACACCACAGTGACTTGTACAGTTCTTTTTTTTAATCCTTCATCTATCTGTACCCATCTGTTGTCTGCTGTCTTACATTTGTTTATAAATGAATTGAGGCTTTAGGGTGGAGTGTGCCTCGATTTGTTTGTTAGTACCAGAGGGATTTGCATCTGGGTCTGCACTGGCTACAGAAAAAGCAGGTTTTGGCAGAGTTTTGTAGCTAAATTTGCCATTTTGTACTGTGTATGAAGAATTTCTCTTCATCTAACTGTGAATGGGACTGCTCTGACAAGTGTTTGAACACGTTTAGATCAAAAAAGTATAGAACTAATGGGTAATTTTTGCTAGGGATTGGACTAAAGCTATGGGTTTAGGACAGAAATTTTGCTTATACTGGGGATACATATTAGAGACTTAATCTGACATAAGATTCAATAGAATGTAAACCCCCAGAAAACCAGTTACAGACTAAAATGTTAAATACCCTTGTTAGTAGCTGTCTGCCCACAAATGCTTTCATTGTTGAAAAGCTTATGGTTGAGAATGCATTTTTTTTTTAATTTAAGCTGCAGCTGAGCTCATTTTAATTGCAGTCTCTATTCATATTTTGAAATGTTTTGCAGTTTTGAATCATGGTATGCCTTTGTATGTCTAATTATGGTTCTGTTAAGTGTTAGGTCTGCAAAACTTTTCCCTTCTCTTCTTGTACTGTAGGTTGGACTAGATTTCACTCCCAGATTTGCCAGCACTGATGAACAGAAGGAAGGACAAAGACAGGTTTTGATCAAGCAGATTGAGCTGGCAAGAAGACTGGATTTGCCGTTGTAGGTTTTGTTTGTACCAGGAGGATTTGCCAGGTCTCAGTAACATGTTGAAATACTTCCAGATTAAGTGCCCACAGAACTTTCCTTAGATGGATTAAACTGGCATAGTTTAATGTGTCCTGTCAGTCTCCAGTTTGAGATTTAATTGTAGAATTTTCCTTATGTTTGCACTTCTGTACAAACACCTTATGCTCCCCGTCCATGCTATGTTGTTCCTATATCTTCACTAGCTGAAAGGATTAATATATACATCCCTGGGTCTTTTCCTTGATAAAAGTTGTAGTATAGAGTCATTATTTTCATCCCAAGATACTGTTAGTTTGTTTGTATTTGCAAGAAAAGGGTATTTGGCTAAATTTCCTAATGCTGGGCCTCTCCTTGCTGTGCAGAAATGTTCATTCCCGCTCAGCTGGAAGACCAACCATTAATCTCTTGAAGGAACAAGGTAAAGTTTTAATGCATTTCCTCTGCCATGGCTTTGGCCAGCAGGATTTCTCCAGTTGTGCCATGTCCTCACATCAGTTTGTGTGTGTTTAACTCAGGAGTGTGAAAAGCGCCAGTCACTTGGTTTTAAAATTTTAAATGTTTAATAGTAATAAAATGGTTATAAAAATAGTAATACAATTAGAGTAATAATAATTTGGACAATTTTAATTAGGACAATATGAGACAATAGAGACAAAGAGTTATGGATATCTGTGGGTACCTTTTTCTGGGCAGCACAGCCCGAAAAAGGACACCCATTAACAGAGGATTAACCCTTAAAAACAACAGCCTGTTGCGTATTCATACATCTCATACATGATGCATAAATTCCATTCAAACACAGGATTCTGTCTGGTCAGTGTCAGCTTCTTCCTCTGAATCCTGACAGCACCTTTGAGGCAAGAAGAAGTTCGTTTCTTCTGATAATGGGGCAATAAATTCTCTTTCTCTGAAAGATTTAGGTGTCCTGTGGCTGCTATCTCACTGCAAGTCCTTCCTTTAAAAAAAGTATCCTACATAGCATAGTTTCTATTTTAAGATTTTGTTATATTCTCAAACTATATTTAACACACCACTTAAGAGAATTAATACAGCATAACCGTCTAACGTAACACGTATAATATTCATTTTAATATTTGCAAAAAGCCAATCATAAAATACACATTTTTCACAGGAGCAGTAGTGCAGAGTTTCTGTGTTAATTCTGTATGGGACCAAGGTGCCATTGGAAGCTGGCATGGCAGCCCTGTGTAACCCTGCTGCTGATGTGGTTTGCTTTGTTTCTCCAAGGTGCTACCAAGGTGTTGCTCCATGCCTTTGATGGGAAGCCATCTGTAGCCATGGAAGGGGTGAGAGCTGGATACTACTACTCCATTCCTCCTTCCATTGTAAGGAGTGAACAGGTAATGTTTCATTCCAGCTGGGGTCTTCTCCTTCTCCATGCATTGCACATTTTTACTTTGGCTGAGTCTCTGCCTGGGGCTTTTGCCTTAGCTGGGCTTTGGAGGGGGAATTCTGGCTAAGACAGCTCAGCTATTCCTGAGAAACAAGGGGGATTTTTCTCATTTTATTGTGGTTTCCGGTGAGCTCTTCAGAAGATTCTGACACTGTACTGTTCTACAGCAGGGACATGTCACGTAGAGAAGGAGTAGTTTTTGTGATAGCACTGCTTTCTGTGATAAGCTCAGGAAAAGTAAGAGAGGAAAAAGTTTGATTCAAGTGGAGGGAGCATGAGAGGTGGGCATAAATGGGGATGAGGGTGGGTACTTAGGAGGAAGGAAAACAAACTGGGGTTGAGAGGTAAAGCAGAGAGGAGGAAAAAGTACACAAATATTATATGCACAGAAAACAGCAAATTAGAATTGCACTGGCAACTCTGTAACTGCAATATAACTGCATGATTAAATAAATTACAATGAATTCAGCTTTGAGATAATGGTACTTTGGACATTTAGAGAACAGGAGAACCCTAATTTGAAGGGACTTCTCAAGCAGCTCTTGGTGTTATTGCTTCCATTCAGAAATTGTTGATAAAATGTAAACAGTGGCACCAAAGTCTTTTGATGTTGTCTTTAAATGTAGGGAATATCCTCCCTTCATGTTTTTCCCCCCACAGTTTGAAGTTCATAAAGCATTTAATGGCTGTCTTATTTTCTTCAAGAAGCAGAAGCTTGTGAAACAACTGCCACTGGAAAATATGTGCTTGGAAACTGATTCTCCTGCTCTGGGGCCTGAAAAACAGGTAGGTGATGGAAGGGAGGGAGTTCTGTGTATTTGCATCCAAACCCACACCTTGTGGAGGAAGTCAGCTGCTGGCACAGGGTAGTGAAGTAGTCTTAAGTGTGGTTACATGAGAGGAAAGAGGCTACCAAGGGAACTTCATCCAAGAGGAATGGATACATGTGATTTTTCTGCCACACGTGCCACAATGTGGCTGAAGTTGTGTCAGAAAGCGCTGAATCTGAAACACTCGTGATCTCTAGGGGTCTGTAATTTGATTGGTTTTGTTTGTTTTTCAGGTGAGAAATGAACCCAAAAACATTTACATTGCTGCTGAATACATTGCCAAAATTAAAGGAATTCCAGTTGGAGAAGTTATAGAAGTGACTACACAGAATGCACTAAAAGTATTCCCTAAACTTCAGCACTTTATCCGGATATAGATTCAGAAACTGAAATATATGATGTTGCAGAAAGTATTACTTGTGGTGTAACTAATAAAACCAATTATTGTACATCTTGTGTTAAAGTGGAGTTTTGCAGTTGGAAGCTCAAGAAGCAAGGAGTGTTTATATAGCTGGATAGGATGAAAATAGGGAATTTCTCAAAGGCCTTTGGTGTGCACCATAATAATCTCATGAATGTGATAAAGACACGTTGTTCCTTTGCATCTCTCACGTCTCTGAACAAATAGTTTGTAAAGGAGAGCACCATAAAATTGTCAGTTTAGTTTCTCAGGTTGCTTGCCAGCGGCTCCTAGTCTGGGAGATGGCCACTATACAGTGATTGATGTCCCCTTCACTCCTTGTTTCTGCTGACTGAAAGTCACAAGTTGTGGACCCAGCTTTCTTATCATGTGGCATGATAAGAAAGCTCCTGTTACAACTGGCAGCCTGCACATCCCTTTCTGAGCCATTAAAAAACCCAGCTGGATGGACATTCTCTGTATTCTGTGCTGACTGGACTGAGGGGTGCAGAAGCCACATCTTTTCAAAATACAGTTAGAAGAATTATAGCCCTTCTCCTTTTCCTTGGCTACTAATCCAAGATGGATTTTCTTGGGTTTTTAAAGTACTTTATTTTTTGAGTTGTATTCAAAGCAAAAAGCCTGGGTTTGGTCTTAGTTCAAGGACTCACTTTTCTGACTGCTCAGTACCAGGAGACACAGGATGTGAAAGGGAGACAAGCTCAGTTTTGTGATACCTTAGAGATGGTGTCTGTGGATTCAGATATGTTGTCCAGTGTCCTAAAGCTGAATCTGTTGCTCTCTCAGCACCTGTGTGGATGTGCAGGTGAAATGCTGATCAGAACTTTGTTGATTATAAATCAGCAATTGAATGGGGTGGGTTTTATATTTCACCCAACTGTTCTGAGGGCCACTAAGAAAGTGGAGCTTTTCTCTCACTATGGAGAGTCCTACCAGGTCAATGAAGAAAATACACAAGCATTAACGTCGTTCATGACCACCTCAGAGAGGAGAAGGGGCCAAAGCTTGCAGTGTAAGTGATGCCCCATCCTAAAGTTTTGTTTTCCTCAGTTTCTTAAAACCACATTGTGAAGAGGTTTTTTTTGCTGCCTTTATCAGAACAGCTGTTCTGCCTTTTGACTAGAAGTAGCTTACTAAGTTTAAACATGTGTTCCTGAACAGTTTTCAGCCTGCAGCAAACCACCAAACTTGCACAATTTTGTCTGTACTACAACGTGTATTTAGAGCAGCAAACACCTGGATCTCTGCTAAGTGTTTGATCCAGAGGAGTCAGAGCCGTTCCTTACCCTGGATCTGCAGGCACCGTTTCCGCTAAAAGGGGCGAAGGACGGGGTTTGCCTGCAGGTGGTGCTAGGGAACAGGTGTGCAATAGTCAGAATATTAGCGTGATTCACTTAATTAATAATCATGTCATTGGAGATGCTAAACATGTGATAGATACCAGGCAGCCTCACATGTGCTTCCTGCTGCCTATGTGTTGGGAAGTCTCCCAGTATTGCTTGGGAATGCAAAATTCCAATGCAATTGCAACGTGAGGAGGTGCTCTGGGTAAGAAGTCAGGCGGCATCCAGCTGTTTGCAAAGTTTTGACCTAATTATTTTTCTCTATGGAATCCTTAGCATTGGATGAAAACACTGGTTTTGCAAGAAGGGGGAATATTAAGGAGTCTCCTCGAAATCCCTGTCTCTGCAGGGGAGTGGCATTGCTCTGGTTCAGCCTTAGCCTTGCAGTAGGATGATTCCTGAGTGTTTGAATCCCTTTTGCTGTGGGAGAAAGCTCCAGCACACTCCCATGCTGGAGCTCCTGTGTGGGCAGGGCTCTGCCGAGGGTGGGCAGCCCTGGGGGCCCTGGGTCTCTGGGACAGCCCAGTTCCTGGAGCTGCTGCTGGTGGTGCAGGAGCATGGCTGAAGCTGATGAAGGTGGCACAGAGTTTCTTCCCCTGGGCCAGGGAGAGCTGGCATTGCAACAGCCACAGGCAGGGCGAGCCTGGCAGGGGGCCATGGCAAAACAAACCAGCTCTGTGCTTTCCTTAGAGCTGTGGCGCCAGAGCTAAGTCATGGAGTAGGTGACCTGGAGTCCCAAAAAGGAAAATGCAGTGTCACTTTCACCCTGCCTTGGCATCCCTGACACAACAAGGGTCAGATGCAGCACCCTTTTCCCAGTGCTGCTGGTTGGCCTGTGCAAGTTGTGCCCCAGTCCCTGGGGGTACTGCTGTGCAGTGAAAAGTGTGGTTTCTGAGCAGGAAAACATCACTGATCCTCAGCAGTCGTTCTGTAACTTTACCTCAAAAGGGAGATTTAACAGAAAGCTTGGATTTCTGCCTGCATTCCCAGGCTAACACCGGGCCTGGAGAGGCAGGGGAAGGCAGGGTGGCTTTTGGGGAGCTGTGTGGCTGTGCACTGTGAAGCCCTTCATCCCCACAGAGGCTGGCCTTAGCAACATCAGTGTGTGTTCTGAACCCTGTTGCAAGCCTCTCAGGTCTGGATGAACCATGCCTTCCCCTACGTAACACAGGAGACTGAAATCGCCAAGGATGTATTGGAGGAAGGACACAGTGCAAATTTTGTTTTTGGGAAAGTTACTGGCAACCCAAGTTTTCTTTTCAGCCATGCCACCAATTTTGGAGGTCACACACAGCCCAGGTGACCTCTGTCTCAGAGAGAGGAATGGCACAGATTGTCTGCAGCAGTGTGGGAAGTGGTAGGTCTCAATTTCCATCAAACCTTCAGCCATCAGCTTTCCTTGGGACGCTACAAACAGTGGATCTGGTTGCACTTTGCAAGACTCCCCATGTCATTTTACCTTGCAGGATGTACATGGAGTGGTAAAAAACCAAGAAAGGGCTCTATCTGTGCTCACTGAAATAGTCTTTGGAGGGCTGCAGGTGGATCACCCTCCCAGGGCCTTTCTTCTGAAATTTTGTTTTTAGCCATGGATTAACAGGGCCTGAATCTCCTGAACTCTGGGGCAAAGTGCTGTGGATTTTTCCAGAATATGACATGGGAGCAAGTGAGGAGATGGTAATGAGGCCAAGTTGATGAAATGCTGCTTATTCCTGCTGTTCATCATGATAAGGGTTTAGACAAATGGACTAAAGACTTTTACTGAGGTGCTTCCAACAGACTCCTATGCAATGCATAGATAGGCTCTTAAGAGGCAAAAGCAAATAAATGAATGGCTGGAAATGCAACTTTCATCACTTATGAAGTTCTGCTTTTGTTTGTTTTTTCATTAATGCAGACTGGGGTTCAATCCTCTGTTCCCATTACAGAGCAGGAAAGTGAATTTGAGAAATTCAGTGGCTTAGCATAAAGCTTTATTGTTCTCCCCTTTGCTTTCTATATGCAGTACAAAGACACTGCTGGGATCAAAGAAAGGATATGAATTGCCATATCACCCAGTTGTCTCAACATTTTCCTCTTCAGCAGGTGGTTGTCCATCTGCTCATTCCCCTGCTGGGGTTGGCTTTTCTGTCAGTGTGAATCTCTTGGGGCATGGGCATGTAAACCCTGCGTGCACTGGGTGGTGGCCCCACCATGCAGTGAGTGCCAAGTGCCTCCTCCAGGAGCTGCTGGATTTTTATGCCCCTTTGAGCTCCTGTGAGTGACAAAACAAGGAGGAACCATAGTGAGGTCCAGGTCCTGCCGAACCCAGGGGCAGGGGCTGTGCCCATATCTCCAAATGCTTGGTGCAACCTCAGAGAGATGCTGCTTGGTGCAAGCACAGGAGATCAGTGCCACCACCCTGCTCAGGTCTGCTGATGAAAAGAGAGAAGGGGTTCCCTTGAGGAAGCAGAAGTGCTGAGGCACTAGAGGACGTCTGAGGCATAGCACTGAGGACAAGGAGTCTGGAGGAGACTATCTGATGTCCTACCAAAGTGGCAGAATCAGTATATATGGATTTTGTCTGCAGTGTGTGGGTGAGGTAATATGCCTTGTACCCTGCCTCTGAGGGCAGGTGAGATGGCTGTGTGGTGTCTGTGGGCAGTGATTCACATAAGCCCAGCCTGCCACAGCAGAGCCCTGGCTGTGCTGAGGCTGAGCAAACCTTCAGCTGCCCATACAGGGGTGAGTGCAGCTGCCTGAATGACCCCAAAGCAGCAGCGACCTGTGGGGAAGCAGGGCCACATCCCCCTGTTCTGGAAGTGTCACTGGAAAAGTGGCAGTATGGGCAGTGTGATTGAGGCCCTGCTGCCCAGATATCAGCAGGCAGACAGGCTGGGTCTGTGCCTGGGCTGGCTGTTAAAGCCTGCCTGCAGTGCAGGGAGAGCTCTCTGTGCTCCCCACCCTGTCAGTCCCTCTCACCGAGCCCGTGGTGCCTGAGCAGCGGCAGAGCCCTCCCTCTCCGTGGCCAATGTCCTCTCTCCTCTCTCCTCTCTCCTCTCTCTCCATGTGCTGCGAGGTCCCCGTGGCTGCCTGCCTGCACTGCACCTGGGCTGCCCTGGCTGCAGGGAATAGCAGCTGACGTGTCTCTGCCCCCTCGACCCTCCAAGGGCATCCTGACTCCATCCTGTGTGGGATGGGGTTCATCCCACTCGGAGCAGAGCAGATGGGCAGCGCCACAGTCCGGCCCACATATATTTTGTATTTCTGCAGCAGAGCATGGACACTGGGTTTAACTTATTCAGTGTTCCCATATGGGCTTTGCATCTGCTCTTTTGGCTGTGCCAGGGCTGTGTGCTTTGTCATCAAGAGTGCAAATGGGTGCTGGGTTCCTTGTTGGTGCCCAATCACACCTTAAGGCACATGATGCAGCATTGATTGAAGTTGTTTCACAAGCAGCACAACCAATGATGCTTTTTTTCCCCCAGGGATTTATGATCTCCTCACCACAGCCATCCCAGTCTCCCACCCATGTCCTGTGATGCTCCCATTCCAGCCCAGCAACCCCAGGGCTGCATTTCCTGCTCCCAGTGTTTCCCCTTGGTCTCTGTCATGGTACAACCAGCTCCTCCATGTACCTTCTGGACTCTGCTTGTCACATCACCTTGGCTTTCTTCTGTGTCCCTGTCATCTCCTTGTAATTCCCAT